GAATACATAGTCAAAGTGTAAAAGTCAGTGAAGTAAGGTCAGAATCTAGTTTCTACCTCCTTCAACCAATCAATATGAGGTCAGCATAATTCACCTTAGTCAGAGAAGAGGCAAATGGACCCCCTGGAAGAGGGGTCCAGCAGGAGGCAGCTCTGGAGGAGAAAAGAGCAGAGAAAAGCTGATATAGCTTTAAGCCCTGCCTGCGGCTGGAGTGATCTACTCAGGAAGACAAGAAAATGTACCAGAGACCAGCAGGACTATGCAGGGAACTTAGCTCCCAAGAAAAGTGTCATACAGGGAGTGGGTGCAAAGACAGGCCACAAAGAAGGAATAAGAAACACTGCCAGGGCACATTGGGGTGGTGCCAGTAAAATGAAAGTTCACCTGCAGCAGAAGCTTGTGAAGGACATCAAAAGCTCAGAGACTTCTGCTACACTGGTAGGGATAGCAGGCCCTTTGCTTAAGAGAGTGGGTGAATGCAAGTCTTTCAACACTGTCAGAGTATTTTTGCTTCATATTTAAGACATGATGCCATGATCTGAATGCATGTGCAAAATGACAGGTAAAAAACTAGTTGGTTAGTCAGGGTCAGAGGGTTAGCATCCCAGTAGTTTAAAGTTCATAAAGAACATCTGCCTGGCTAAAATATCTTATGACCTGTATTGTGAAGGTCACATCTGCATCACTTCCATTAAGAGTTGAATTCTGCTAATAAGACAGAAAACATCAAATTCACATCTGTGCCCTACAATCTTGGAAAACAAGATCGGTTCCCTTCCCACCACAGATGACTGCCAATAAAGACCTTCAGGTCACATCAGGGACACTTTTAATGACTTACACAGATGCTAGGAATTTAATAATCCTCTTTATAACACACAGGAACTAATAATAACTTATCTTCCCAGCTGTTATATGAAAAGCCAAAAGGCAGAAAACACCTCTAAATTAAGATCCTATACAGGAAGAAAATTTGGCTGCCAGGTAAGACAGTAGTAGAAGACTATAATACTAAACAACAATAACAAAAATAATAACAAAAATAGCAACAACAACAATACTAACAGTAATAAGTAATTATACTTTAATAAAAATATAAAAATGTTCCATATGAAATTACTGATACACTGCCTAATTTACATTAAACTCCTCCAGTAACTGCTTCCCTTGCATAAGGCACCGCTCAAGCCCCCTGTACGACCCGCACTGCTCGTCCTAGGGTTCCGGTGCTGCCCGGGCCCCTCGGACACGCGTGCCCTCGGCCACAGCTCCCCGCCCTCGGCCGCTGCGAGTCCCGCCCGCCCCGCACGGCGACAGCGCTCAGGGGTGTCCCGCGAACCCCCGGCGGCCCCGGCCGCAGCCCGCCCGCCCCGAGAGCCCCTGGCGGGCGGCGCAGCCCCGTCCCGGCGCGGCGGGGACACCTTACCCCGTGTTGGGCAGCATGGCGGCGCGGGCGGCCGGGCCGGGCCGGGCAGGGCCAGGGGCAGGGGCAGGTCCGGGGCCGCTCCGCTGCGCAGCCGCCGCGGCCGCTCGGGGCGGGGCGGGGCCGGGGCCGGCGCCGGGGCCGCTCCCCCGCCGGGCCCTGCCGCTCTGCCCGGGGGCTGGGGCACAGCGCGGGTGCCAGGCTCGGGCTGCGAGCCGACCTGAGACTGGAGAAAGGCCTACGCGGGATGAAGAGTGGATCTGGAAGGCTTTCCGTATCCTTTCGTTCTCCCGTCGTGTGTATGAAATTTTGCTTTGGTCTCCTGCCAATTGCACTCAAATCACTGGAGCTGTGCCTCCATCTCATCTTCTGGAGTGCTGTGTCCAGTTCGGGGCTCCTCAGGATAAGAGAGACAGGGAGCTACTGCAGTCATTGAGGTGGGGGAGCACTAAGGCGATTTGGGGCCTGGAGCCCTTCTCTTCTGAGGGCAGACTGCCGGAGCTGGGCCTGTTAGTACAGAAATGAGTGCGAGAGGATCTCCTTAATGCATATGCCTATCTCTAAGCTGGATGCCAAGACGGTGGTGCCAGACTCTTTTCAGTGGTGCCCAGAGACAGAATAAGGAGCAGTGGCCATAAACTAAACTACAAGAATTCCACTGAAACATGACAACTTCTTTGTGTTGAAGGTGGCGCAGCACTGGAACAGGCTGCCCATGGGGGCTGTGTCATCTGCTCTAGGTCACCGTGCCTTGACAGGGCGGTTGGAGTAGATAATCTCCAAAAGTCCCTTGCAACTCTAATGATTTTGTGACTCCCTGTTTATTAGATAGCCTGAAGTAGGATCCTGTGTCTTTGTGCACCCAGCCACACCTATTCTGTCCTTCATCCTTTCCACTAGTACCTCTCTTATTTCACAATAACTTCAAGGTCATCCCTCTCCTCTGTGCCTTGCATGTATAACTTTTCCTCATCCTCCCTCTGTTGCCCAATGAAGACTCTGACTTCCTCCCGTGCTTGCCATGCTGACCACCTGTTACTGTGGTTAGCAAATCTTCCACCAGGTTCCACCTTTGGCTTGTCTTTCCTCCTTCAGCTCTCACAGAGATTCTGTGCAGCACCTTGAGAAGGCTTCAGGTTTCACAGAGAGCTGATGGCAGAAGGGGAAATCTGGTAGATCCGAACCTGCTGGAAGAATTGTGACAGATGGTTTTACTGACTTCAACAGAAATCAAAGTGAGCCCTGAGCAGATGAACTAGCCTGTGTATTAATATAATGGTGGTTGTTGGTTCCCTTCACTGCAGTTCACAGTGTTGCAGGGCTGCAGACTCTTGCATGGCTGAGGTGAGAGCAGGCTAAAGGGGCCAAGGGCTGTCTGAACACTTTGTAACCTCCATAACGTCTCCCATACCACCTGCTTTCCCAGGGTTGACATCCGGCACAGACGGAAGTGATTGTGCTTTGCTAAGATCTTCAGGCATGCTTTTCCTTCATTCTCCCTGCAGCCATGCAGCCCAAATGACCAATGCACGGCTTGACTGCGTTGGTCATTTGGCATACCCCAGCTGTAACCTCATGCCTGCAGTGTTCTCCATGGAAGTGAGCCGTAGTGACTGTGAGAGCTGCCTTTCACCTACGTTCACAGGCACCTGCAGGAGAAACACCTGGGCATCACGGTTCAGCCGTCTTCCCCTTGAGTGTTTGTTTTGTTCCCTGGTTTGTTTTTTTTTTCTCTCTCTCCAGAATGTAATAGGGGAACTGAAGTGATGGGGCTTTTTGCTGTATCAGGAGGGTCAGTTTGCCTCCTGGAAGGCTTTTTTAAGCATGAGGGGGCAGAAGGCATTTGAATAGGCACTGCAGAAGGTGGAAGGCTTGAGCGCTGAATTTCAGCTCACCCTGCCTCACTTCAGGTGCTGAGCAGGGGAGCACAGGTTTACCATGGGCTGAGCACCCTTGCGTCTGTGCTTGCAGTCCTGTGCTCTGCTCTCTGCAGAGCGGTCCTGGGGGGCAGGGGGAGCACACCCCTCTGCTCTCCCAAGTGCCCTTCCCTCCGATGGTGCAGCATTCACCCGGAGCTGCCTCCTGAGCCCGCAGCTACTCGCAGGAGAACGTGGAGCGCCCTTTCCTTTCAGAACGACTCCTTTCATGTCGGCGTTGGCCACGGGCCTTTGCCTTGCGCAAGGCCGCCGTGCCGCGCTGCCGCCCCGGCTGTGCCCGCTGTCCCTGCGCCCGCGGCTCTGCCGCTGCCTCCCTGCGCCGGCTGCGCCTCCGTGCGGGCCCCCGGCCGGGCTGAGCCGGCTGCAGCCCGGGAGGGCCGGGGAACTGCGGCCGTGCGGCAGGAGGTGGCGAGCGAGGTGCTAGTGAGCGCTGTCAGCTGGGCCCCGAGTGTCCTGGCGACAGTGAGGTGATCTTTCAGGCTCGCAACCGGCTCTGAAAACACCGTCACGTGTGCAGAAATGTTTTGGGGTTTTTTTTTAGAAAAGCTTTGCTTTTGCTCTTTCAGAATTGGTTTATGTCAAGTTGAAGGGCAACTAAGAATGCTGAACTGCTTTTATAGGAGTTTCAAAATAGGGATAAGGCCAGAGCAGAGGAGGCAAGCTTGGAAGTGTTCCTTTCTGGTGGAAATACTCCTTGACCGGTCACGCCAGGACTGTTCTGCCAGGGACAGATGGTGTTAGCTCCTTGGGCTCCTAGTGTTGGTTATTCTGTAGAGACTCACAGAACAGACCTAAGTATTTTTGATACTGAGGATACCTAAGAGACTTTCAACAGCATTTTAAGGGGTTCTTCCACTTGATTGGCTTTGTAAATTGCTAAAGCTTTCCTTTTTTGGAGAAGCTTTCCTTTAGTGTTAAATGTGCATCTTCACTGGGATAAAGTAAAATGCTGTTCAAGTTGATGTGTTTAAACAGAATTCTCTGTATTTTATGTAGAATTCTCTAGATCTTTAGGCTCTGGGTCTTGAAACAGAATTCCCTGTCCCTTCCTTTGATCCCTGATCCAGATGGAAGTTGATGGTATCATTCTCTCCTTTAACCCCTCTTTTAAATGCAAAATGATGTTATCAGGTGGGTTAAGCAGATGTTGCTCAATGTTTATGGAAAGCTTTTGTATTTTATGACTTGCCTGGCAATTGTCTAAGAAGATGACATCTTCTTGGACACTCAGCCTTAAGTTCTGCACGTCCCGAACTGAACTTTGCTTGGGACTGAGTAGGGGACATCTCCCCAAATGACCAGCAGGGACCACTAGAGACCCCCGAGGAGGCCTACGCAGGTGAAGTGACGCTGCATAGGGTTGCACAAGTTAAGCACTTTTGCAGTAAGCAGGGGTAACTGTGTATTAGATAGGCAGGTTTATGTAGATTTCAGTGTGTGAATTCTCTCACATTTTAATCCTTGATTGACTTGATCTGTGGAAAATCTCTGCTTGGCATCTCGGGCAGAATAAACAATGTCTCCTCTCTAAACCCTTTGTCCATGTTTAGAGAGTTCTGAAAGTTGGCAATAGAAGCAGTAAATGATTTACAGTTTAGAAGCCTTTGCAGAAGAATTAATTTATTGGAGGTGCTGCCCAAGCATTCAAAGAGGAGAAGAAATTAAGCAGATCCCAGCAGGAAGGAGCAGATGGGGCCAAGGCAAAGACAGAATCTGCTGCAGCCATGCCATCGGGTCCTGTAGCAGAGACGTTCCGAGTTATTCAAGGGGCAGTGACTGAGGAGTACGTGAGAAGTACTCAGGGTGTCTTTCAGTTTGAGCTCTCCGGTAAGCCCACCGCTTGTGCAGCCTTGCCTGGCAAAAGGCCCCGGTGTTTTCAGACGGAAAGGCTTTGGAAGCTGGTCCCGAAGCAGGCGGGCTCCTGTTCAGTTCCTGTGACGCTGGTGCTGCAGGCCCGCTGGAGCAGCCCCGGGCGCTGCCGTCCCTCTGTCCCGGCGCTGCCGTGGCCCCGCTCGGGGCGCTCTCGGGGCCGCGGCAGAAGCGCCAGCTGCCAGCGGCTCTGGGAGCAGAGCGCGGCCCCCGGGCTCTCCTGCCCGCGGCCCCAGCCCGCGGCGCTTGCTTGGGGCGTCACGGGGGACAGGAGGTGACTCCTTGCAGAGCCCCGCCAGCGTGCGGGCTGCCACGGAGCCGCTGCACGCGCACACGGCCGCGGGCGTCTGGCGGGGCGGCAGAGAGGGAGGGCACGGCAGTGCTTGCTGCCTTCTCACCGCGCTTCGCTCTCTGTCCAGGCCATGGTGGAGGCGCTTGGTATATTGACCTGAAGAGCAAGGGTGGGAGCGCTGGCTTCGGAAAGGCTCCCGTGACAGCTGATGTGGTCATGAGCATGTCGAGTGCCGACTTTGTGAAGATGTTCACAGGTGAGGGACAAAGGCCTTTGTCGAGGGCCACAGGTACCGGGAGAGCCAGAAAAGCTGTCCCAGAAAAGCCTCTGCTGACAGGGGAGTAGAGAGGCTTCTCGCTCTGTGATCTGGCATTGGAGGAGCTTTCAGCTTTTTGTGGCTCTGGGGAGAGCGCAGGCAAGAACTGCTTGGATTTTTCTGCACTCCTGCATCCTGTGAACAGGAAGAGTGCAAAAAGTTACACTGCTTTTATTAACCAGGTACCGACATTTTAGCAGCCAGTGTATCTTCAGAGAGAATCAGTCAATGCATTTGGCTTGTGCTCTGCGCATGTCTGAGCAGCGTCTCCTAAATGTGCCCTGCTCGTACCAGGAAGAGCTGGTAGGAAAATAACCTGATTTGTTTCATCTCCCCTGAGAGATTGGAGCCATATGGTCTTTTCTTAGTTAAATCAGTCATAATCTAATAATTTCATTAAGTAACAGGATATTGCATCTGATGTAATTTGCTCCTCTTGCAGGAGTGTTTTCTCGTTCCAGAGAATGTATTTACTGATTAAGTAGTGTTGGACAGAAGACAATGTCAGAACTTTCATTATGTTAAAAATGCTACACTTCTTTTTAAGTGTGATTTCCACAAGTATCACTATTCAAAACAGCTCGAAACCTTTTTTAACACACTTCAAAATGGAGTCAGAAGAGAACAGATTAATAATGAAAAAAAAAAGTTATCCATTAAGTTAATAATTGTAATCAAGTCCTCAGAAATATTTTTACAGATGACTTGAAAAGTAAATTCTACTTCAATTAATCCGCCTCCTCCTTTACTGTGAAGTGATTCAATATTGTAAAATATCTTTAGATACAGATATATAGAAATTCTTTGTTAGATTCAGATATTGGAAGTGTGTGGAATTTAATCACAGATTCTGATTTAGCATTTTTACCACGTGGATACAACTAGGGAGTATATTCCAAAACAGAATTTCTAAATTCACTCAAAAACCCTACTCTAGGGATATTACTCTTTCCTGTGCATGGCCTATACCTAGATAGTTTTAATTTTCTGATGGTTCTGTTTTTTCATTTTAGATAAGCTAAAGCTATTCATGGCTTTCATGCCAGTAAATTCTAGTATTAAAGGTGATATGATCCTAACACTGAGTCTGGAAAAGATGCTACTATAGTTGAATTTTGAACACTAGCAGAATACTGGTCTTTCTTATGTAACTACAATGCTATTTTAAAACACTAGTCCTCATTTTTTGCTGATGCAGCATAAGATCAATAGATTTTGTAATTGCTAAAGAAATCACAACTCAAGTTGATTATAATACCCAAGAGCAAACATGGCTTTTTAAAATAACTTCCTGTAAAGCTTCAAAAAACAATTATGTCCCAAAATTCTGGTGTTTCAAGAACAGATTTTTTAATTTTCACTTCTTTATTTTTTTCTGACTGCAGACTGTCCTGTGTCACTGTGAGATGCAAGCCTAAGAGACCTTTATTTCTGATCATGTTTTCTCTGATATCTGAGGAGATATGAGTTCTTATCCAATGATTAAGGGATGCACTGCATGTTTCCTGTAAGAGCTGAAGTCAGCACTAACTTTTCCTCTCACTGGGGTCAAACAGTATTTTTCTGCCCTGTACTGGTTTCACAAAGCTTGTATGAATTGACCATCCCTATCAGATGTTATTTTAAAAGGCTAATGATCTTGAGACATTGAAAAGGTCCACTGTGCACTCTTAGGACAAGACCTACAATGGATGCTATAGTAGAGGAATTATTGCAGCTGTTTGTCTTCTGCAAAGGATTTTTGCATGAGGTCAAAAGTGTTTCTTTTTATTCTATTGCTCACTTCATAGATTTGGAGGCCCATAAAAATGAAATGACTAAAAAACTTGTGACTGTTTTGCTACTGTGAGTAACTGGAGAGAAAGTTACAGGTTTTTTGGGTGATGATGAATGGAGAGAACGGCTCCAGGACGTGCATAAGAGAGACACGATCTGCAGACTGCTGACACTGGTGAGCAGGACTGATGGTTCGTCGTACTGCAAAGGTAATATGACCCTGGTGTGTTCAAGGGCCGTGTTTAGACGTCTTCCACCGGCTCAGCGGTTGCAGGTCTCCACCGGGGCTGGGAGCAGGCGGTGCCAGCAGAGGGAGCAGGCAGCACACCGCAGCGGGGCTGCCTTGGGCACCCCGCCCTGCTGCCCGGCCTGCCGCCGGCTTGCTTAGGGGCTAGACTCGCCAAGGTGCACCATGATAGTTTTCTGCTTAAAGCACGCTTCACATGTGGGATAGGGTGAGATAAGCAGGTTTGCAGCAACTTAAAAATCTGTGTCTGTGCCTTGCATCGTCTTACCTCCCTTCCCTCATTCCTGGTATAAAGTTCTTGCTCCGGAGCAGGAATGAGGTGTAAGGTGTGTACTTCTAGATGACAGAGCACCTGTAATTGTTATATTTATTTGAACCACTGAAATAATCAGTGAGAGTAATATTTTGGGGAGAGACTTGGTTTGGAAGAGTGTTAGCCTGAATGCTTAAAATCAAATGAATGATAAAAATCAAACCCAGTGAATCTTCATATAATGTCCATATAATGTCCATATAATCCATATAGTCTATATAATGGTGTCTTAATTAGTTCTATGCATCATTCTGTCCTAGAATAAGATGGTGCTTTGTATAGCAAAGTTAAGCTCTAATTGACTAAATATAACTAGCGCAAGCAATAATACATAGAGACAGTACCTTTTACTGGGATGGCCTGTAGCTCTGCTTCCCACCATTTCTACTGGGGGCTAAGAATAAGACTTTGCCAACTGTCTGGAGACAGTATCATCACACCTCTTGAGACAGGTTTACCTGCACAGAATTTTATCAGTGTGGTCCAGACTTCAACTTGAAGTTACTGTAGGGGAAGGAGAACAGAAAGAAAAGGAAGTGCCTGACAAGTATCCAGCCAAGTAATGAAGCAATGTGGCCCCCAGAAGAGTGTCCTTTCCAGAGTCAGCAAGCAGTGAAGATGAGGAAAGTGACTATAATTATTGTTGTCAGGCTTTCTCCTCTGTCAACTCTGCTCTTGGCATTAGGAGCCAGCCAAGCTGCCGCTTGGTTGTTCCTGTATATGATGCTGTCAGTGCTGACAGGATCACATTTAAGCAGTTACAGGTGGTGTGTGTCAGTCACTCCATTTGTGCATATTTATGGTTAGTAATGCTTACGGGTTATTTACATGATTATTATCTACTGTTCTATTTGCTAACTCTTGCTTTTCCCCTTAATACAAACTGAAGTTACAAAACAGATAGGAAACCCAAGGGGAAGAAAGATGAGATTATTGGACTCTGAGCAATTGCTTTCTATGAGAATCTACTGAGATTTGCAAGTGGAAGGCCAAGGCAACGGCACAGGAAGGAGAAGGGGGAAATACTGACACAGCAGCTTGGGTCAAAGGCTGCAGGGCTGAAAGTGATTGCTGGGCCCTTAAGGGGCATAGAAAGCACTTGGTATTGCAAAGATGACATCACTTGTGCATGTCTGTGTGCAGCAATTGATATGTCTGCCAGCTGCTGCTCAGTGCTAAAAGACAGCTTTTGCAATGAAATTGTGATCACAAGGTATGACTGGGAAGCTGCCTGCACATTAGAACCTAACAACCAAGGAGGCAGAAAAATGTGCACTCTCTCTTGGCATGACATGGTTAAACTCAAGCTTTATGGTTACCTCACTAGAAAGTGAAGCAATGAAGGAAAAGTAGGTTCTATCAAATTTCTTAAATGTGAGCAGTAATTTTGAGCTTGTTTACCTGTTCTCACTTTCTCCCAATCATAGGAGTAGCCTGGCGTGAGCAACAACTCTGAAAGCAGACCTTTTCACCAGTGGTTAAAGTTTTAGCAGGGTGGGAGATAAGTACAACACCATTATTTTCAGTCATGGTCTTTATCACAGCTTTGATTGTGAGTTTGCGTGAGATGTAGTATTGGGTGAACAAATAACAGAAAATCAGTGTGATGGATCTTTTTCACCAAGAAACATATTTCATACTATTTGTAATATTTTCTCCAGAAGGATGTTGTCAGCTATTTCTTTATTCATACTTTACTATTTATACTAAACAACTGAATATGACAGAGGGGAATTTTGAGATCCATACTTTACTGTAAAAGCAGTGTCTAGGTCACATCTATTCACTGAAACAGGTCTCTCAAACTTTGAAATTTACCAGGCCAAAAAGGGAGGGAAGAAAATAATACCATGGTTGCCTGAACCCAGAAACCTTGGGAGGAACCACTGGCTCAGTTGGGTTTTTGTGGGGTTTTTTTGGTTTTTTTTTTCCAGAGGAATAAATACTCCTGTGACAGCCAGATATCCTAAGTAAATAATGCCCCATATTCATATTTACAAACTTCTCTGCTATTACTTTCTTTGAAGAAAACGAGGGCCTCCCAAAGACACACATATGAGACTATGTTGTCAGCCTGTTACAGGTGGGCAATTGCAAGAAAGGCTGGAAATAGCTCCAGGATTTCTGTGGTAGAGCCACGACTCAGCTGCCACATGATTCCAGTTCTGTCATTGCAAAGATTTCCCCACTCTCCATCTTCTTGCATTTGCACTGTGAGCTCCTTAAGGCACCCTGTAAAACAGGAGTTCAGCCCTCACAGCCTAGCATTGGTGTTCCAACTGTGGGTCTGCTACAGCCTTCATATGCCATTTGCAGAGAGCCACCCCCTTTTGGGGGGACTGAGCCCAGGAAGTCACAGCTGGCAGTGTGGGTGGGTGAAGAGCAGGATCCGGTTATGTTTTAAATCCACTCTCTGTGTTTTAAAGGTAAACATTAGGTAATAACTTGAGGCCACAGGCTGGAGACCAAAGCATCTTGGTTTCTTAGACAGAAAAAGCCCAGTGTCCTTATCTTATATGGAGAAACTACATACTGTATGTTCAGACAAATCTCTCTCATATAATTAGCACACACTTGAAGTGCCAAGTCTCCTGTTTGCTTTCAAGTGAATTTCTTGTTGAGCTCTTATTACACACTTTTCCAATACTAATTATTCGGGCTTTTGTTTAAATTGCTCTTCTTTACCTGTATATTTCATCCAAGAGCTGACACTCACCTGCTGTTGCCAGAGATATATCCTGTTCCACCAAAACCCACAGGAATTTAATACAAAACAGAGTTGTATGGTCACAACTCTGAATACACACAGACTGGATTCTCAAGGGCGTTTCAAGCCTCTCGTGAAACAGTATAGAATTTCCAAAGGCACCTTGTGGACGGATCTTCATATACGTTTTCTTTTAGTGTTAACACTAATTGTTATTGCAGCTTAGTAACAAAACTAACAAGGGAAGGACCAGCAGAAAGTTAGTTCTGCTCTGATATGCTTGGGTGTAAATATGAAGTATCCTTGTGATGTCTGCACTGCTTTTTTCAGTATCGTGCACATGTGAAGGAAAAGTGACTGCCTAACATGACAATCTGAGGTTCTCAGTGGAGAAAATTAACAGGTTTTCTTCTGTCAGTTTGTTAGCTGCCCCAGACAGGGTATGAAAAATTTAGAAGTGACCTAAAAGCTGGGTGTTTTTACTGGGCATTACCAGTATCTAAGCTTTCATAAGCTGTTATCTGCTTTGCATTTAATCAGTCACACTCTAACTCACTTTGATCGTAGCCCTGACCTGAAGTTAGGTATTTTGTTGTGCTGGTTTTTAGAGTTGATGAATAACTGCAGTCATAACAAATCCAGTAACTGTGAGTTGGGTGGTCTTTAGTACTGGTACTTACTCCCCCACGTTCCTTCAGGATCTCCAAAGGAAAATGAGCATGCCCTCATTTGTGCTATAGGCTGGGTGTTGAACCTCCAAAGGGAGTTTGAGAAAGGTAGGAGTTTTCTGGTAATCAGTGATTACTGGAAAAAGACAAAACCTTTACAATGCACTGTGATAGCTGAATCCCTGCTCTTCAGGTTGTCCCACAACCTTCTACTTCAGAAACAAGCTCAGGGCACTCCTTGCCTGATCACCCCTTTTAATTCAGCCTGGTGTTACCTACATGACCAGAAAAATGCCTGCTCCTGCTCCTGGGTAAGTCTGACCTGCCCTGGTCAGGCAGAGCAGTATTTGCAACACATATCCTAGGAGTCCAGTGGAGGGATTGCCAGCAATCCAGGTGGCTGGAGCAGAAGACCACTCTCCTCAAGCTTTCCTGTTTGAATCAGGCTCCTTGAGGGCTTGTGTCCCATTAGTGTCCCAGAATGAGGAATGCCTTCCTCTCTTGGGGATTCTTGTAGTGCCCTTGTTTCTGACTGATGGAGCAGGGATGTCGGGTCAGTGTTAAAAGCAGGATTACAAGTGTTTAAATACTGCTGAGCAGGGTGCACCTAGATGCTGTGGTAAGTGACCAGCACAGCTGAAGGACCATGGTCTACTAAAAGTGAGTTTGTTCTGAAATCTTCTTCAAAAGTGATGAAATCGTGGGCATCATGATTAGGGCATCATGTAGTGCCCCCATAAAGTAAAGTAAGTTTTGGACTGGCAGGTAAGTGAAGGGCAAATTAACCAGCAGTGCTCTTCTTTGAAATATTGTGTGTATTTAATTACAGATGTTCCAGGAATGCAGATATGATACTTCACAGATTTTGCTTTTAAAACCTTTCCTTACCTAAAGAGAAGATGTGGGGTGTGAGGTGTGCTTGATCTTCCTCTTTAAGGACCACTCTTAAACAAATGGATCATGTTCTGATACTGCCTTGCCTTAGTAAATGAATTTGATTTTCAAACATTACAATTCCAGTGTTTTGTACAGGAAACCTCCAAAAACAACAACCCCACAGACAAGCAACTTAATCACTTCCATATTTATTTGCAATTTTCAAAGGAACTTCCCAATAGCAGCATACCAGTTTAGTACCAGAAAGGTAGTGTCCAAAGAGGCACTTAATGGCTTTCATTCTGACCCTGCCTACACCAGTGCAGGTCTGCTACATTGCTACTGAAAACACAGGGATACAAAGCCCTCTGCACAGTCATGAGAGAAGGATTCGTTATTTACTATCCACCAGTGTCTCAGGTGTGTGTTGTAATACCCCAGCTCCACTCGTCACACCAGTTCTCTGCATTTGTCTTCCTGCAGTCATGGAGGAAACTGGCACCCACCTTCTGTCACTGACCTTGAGTCCTCACAGCTGGGTGTTTGTAAGCTGCACTGCCCCACAGACCCACCTGTTGCTCTGCCTTTCACGAGCACTGATGTCCCAGGAGGGAGCCAGCCCATTAATATTGACCTGTTTCTCACCAAGCCCTTTCACCTAGAGAAGTGTGTCAGTCAGGTGGGTCTAGCTCATGCTTAATTCTCTGAGAGGGAACTGCAGTATTCCAGACTGACACACAGGCTCTTAGGATGGGAAGCTGGCTCCCCAGATTTTTGATTTTTTGCTCATTTCTTTGCAATAGATGTTGAGGTAGAGGAAGCCTCAGTGAAGAACCAGCTGTCTGCCTGCTTGTTGTAAGGTTGTCTGCTGCTTCCCTCACAATGTTACAGAGGAGGAAGAGGCACTGTAGGACACCGCAAGGTTTGGCCGGGCCCTGAGCTCTTCTAGGACTTTCTGGGACCTTACGGATACTACTCTCATCATGTTCCAGCTAAATGATGGAGTAAAATCTTGCTTGGATCATGGCAAATGAAGTCTAGAAAGGAAGATGAATCTTTTAACTCCTACTGCTTTTTCAAGGGGCTACCTTTTTCAAGAAGATAATTGTTGTACCCGGAAATTCTTCTGACTCAAAAGTGGTTCCAGCTTAACTTTTTGTACAGCAGGAGCTAGTTTTGTTGGGCACATGTTCCTCTGAGAAACACACCTGTAAAAACTAGTTCATGATCTGTGTCCGGCTGGTTCTAGCCATGATGAGCAGCCCTTGGAGCAGACGTGCTAATAGCAGTCTGTGTGGGGAATTGCTGCAAAAAAAAAGCCTGTTGTGGCAGTGGCCTGATCCTGCCCTTCTTCCTGTGACAAAATCAGTTCTGATTTCAAACCTACAGCTGCTAAAACAGACCATTCTTGGCCTTTCTCATTTTTCCTTCTCATCCCAACTACTCTAGTGGTAGGTCCTTTGTGTACAGCCAGCTTTCTGCTAAAATCGGAAGTATTTTCTGATTGCGTCTGTCTTCCTCCTGGGCCAGCTTTCCTCCTGCTGTGAGGGCTGGGGGATTTCACATGGAGTAGTGTTTCACCTTTGTGTTTCAGCTGGCAAAGCTTCTGGTGCCAGGTCAGGCTCATGACTGGTGGTGGGGGCTGAGGGAGAGTCTGTGTGGGTGCTGGCACACCCTGCTCAGCTGGGCAGGAGAGAGCAGGCATGGCCAGGGCACAGACTGCGGGGGTGTGACTCAGCTTCCTTGCTGCCTGAATCAAAGGAAGGGCAGAGCTGGGCAGCAGAAACAAACCACTCAGCAGAATCCAGCCCACCTGTCAGTCCTGAACAAAAGAGGAACCAGCCCAGACCGAGTTGGTGCACATCTTATCTCATGGAGGACATTCCTAGGAAAAGCCAAGCTTTGCTCTGTTTCTGCTTGACCAATGTGGTGCTGGAGTGATGCTGGGGAAGCTGAGCAGTTCACAACAAAACCATGTGGTCACTTGGTGCCTGCACATTTTCTGTGAAGTGGTATCATCTCTGCTGTGATGTTGCTGTCACTTGCCAGGAGCTTTGGGCCTCTCTTCAAGCAGACAGTCAGGTGTTCCCAAACAGGAGGATGGTGATTCCTCTCCTTCCTCTTTGGCAGCTTGTACACCCTATTTCACAGCCAGCGTTTCTCTGCAGAAGGATCAGTTCATGTGGGATCTGGGATGCTTTTGCTTTTGCCCATTGTTTTTGGTCTGCTGGTGGCACGAGTGTTAATGGGAGGCCGGCTGCCCAGGAGTACTGGAGGGGAGAGCATGAGCTTCCACTGAGCACCATAAGCCCTAGATTTCCTGGCACTGGCATCTGGAGTGAAACAATTCACCCTTGCCACACAGCCTGCTATGGTTGATGAAGGGTCACAGCACATGCGCTAGTAAATTGTCAGAGGTCACAGAATAAAATCCATGCTAGTTCTGGGATAAGGATGCGATACATCTTCTTTCTCAACCCACTGCATTAATGACAGTACCCTGCTGCCTTACCTGGACATGTGGACCATCTATGAAAGGTCAGCACCTCCAGCAAGTGTCCACACCAACCAAGTCAGATGTCTGTCTGGTTGTGTTTTATTCCAAGTGACGAATAGGAGGAGAAATGGCCAGCAAAAACTCCTCACCACAGCAGTCTCTTGGCTTTGCAGAGGCAGAACAGTCTCTGTGTCTGTCCACCCTGCAGCAGCCAGCACAGTCCTGTTGGGTCAATAGCAGCAGCTTTCCTTCCCGGAGAAAACCTTGTTTTCTTGCTTGGGAACACCAGTGCACACAATTGCTGCCCTCCCAGTGCAATTGCTAACACAGGCAGTGAGCTAAAACAAGCTCATCCAGAGCTACAATTCTGTGCTGAGGTGCTGGTGACGCTGTACTAAGCTTAACTGAGCTCTTCGACAGCATATGATGTGACCTGTGGCTGCTCCTAAGAACGAAGAAGTGAAAAAGGAGAAGAAAGAGGGGGGAAAGGTGGGAGGAGGAGAGAGGCTTTGTCCTGTGGCCACTGAAGAGCATGAGAGAAGTAGAGAAGAACAAAGAAAAAGAATGCAAAGGAGTGATCAAGACTGAAGGCCAACAGTGAAGAGCAAGCCCCTTATGTTTCCTGACTGAAGATTATGTGAGCTTGATTATAAGGCTTCCAGAGATGAAGAGTGTTTTTTTGGAAGGCAGTCCTCCTCTTCAGGAATTCCTTATTGTTGTTAGGGAAAGTGTAACTATTTGGTCTTGAAAAGACAGCTGAGCAGGCCCATCTTAGAGGCAAACAGGGCACTGGTTTCAACCAGTACAACCCATGCAGCCTCTGACCCACGAGGAGTGTGTGATGGCCTGTACAGTACTGTGGGGGCATATTTCTGAAAATCAGATCATTCCTGTCCCTGCAAGGATTTTGTGGGCACAGCAGAGTCCAGGAACGTTGTGGTCTTCTTCTTAATGTTGCCAGTGCTTTGACTACGGGTCCCTATTTTAAAAGCAAGATGTGAAAGCAGGGTGTCATGTATTTGATTGTGATGGAGGCAGACTCTCTCTCCTCTCCCTGGAATAATTACTCCTTCTGTTAGGGTTCTTCGTCTTTAGGAATCTACTACTGAAATCTTAAATAATTAAGTATTATAGACCTCTGCTTATTGCAGCACCATGACCATGACAACCTACTGAAAATAACACTAGCAGAAGGGATAGTAATCTTCCCTAGGCAAGGTTAATGCTGCTACCAAACTCCCCTGCCACCTCACAGGCAAATCTGGAAAGAGCATTACTTTTGGCATGAATACACTTCCAGATTGCCTCCATTTTACTCTCGTGTAAGCATTGTTGCTATCGTAGCTAGTAAGCATGTGTTAGCCCATTCAGGTTTTGCAAATGTTGGCATAAGGAAGATGAGGAAAGAAAACCTCTGGGCCATGAAGCAGCTGGTTTAGAAGGCTGATAGCCAGGCCTCTCTCCTTCTGGAATGATGCAGGGTAAAAAAAGTCCAACTGAGGAGATGAGCAAAGTTTGCTTTGGCATGTGCCTTGCTTACTGTGGGAGAACCAACACCCAGAGAAAATGCTGTAAGCACACAGTGAGCCCTCCTGTGATTAACTGCAAAAAAAAATATGAGCAATGTTGCTGATAGGGTCTCTAGCTGCAAGCAAATTAAGAAAGTTTTCGCAACACACAAATTGCAGTTTTTATTGTCTTACACATGGGCACAGTGTGTGTACAGATGTGTGCATGCATGTGTACATAGTCCACATAAAATTAACAGGTTGTGGCAGATACCAAATAAAAAAAGAGTAACAATAAATCTCATGTTTCTATATCTGCACAAAACAACAGAGTAGTAGCTGTTTGGACATACTCAAATTGAGTGGGTGAGGTGCTGCAAATCAGGAGACCTCCACCAGAATAATGAGAATTACATTATTTTATGTCAGCTGAGAAGGTGTTTCTTAGTGTAACATCCAGGTTTCACATGCATGCATCTCTCCTTGTTTTCACTCCTGCCCATGGCAACGCAGGGAATGCAGATCCTGTTGCCTGTTTCCCTGCAGAGGGGGCACGGTGACCCCCTCTCTGCTCCCCCTCAGTCCCTCAGGAGAGACAGGTGTCCCTTGGGTGTCCCTCAGGGTCCTGTGCGGTGCCCAGACTGGGCTGCACCACCCAACGTGGTGCATGTGTGTGTGCGGTGTGCGATGGCACACAGCCTGTGGTTCTGTGTGTGTGCAGTGTGTGGTGTGCCATGGCACACTGCCTGCAGTGCATGTGTGTGTGCGGTGTGCCATGGAACCCAGCCTGCGGTGCTGTGTGTGTGCGATGTGCAGTGTGCCATGGCACACAGCCTGCGGTGCTGTGCGGTGCTGTGCGTGTGCGGTGTGCCATGACACCCAGCCTGCGGTGCTGTGCGGTGCTGTGCGTGTGCGGTGTGCCATGGCACACAGCCTGCGGTGCTGTGCGTGTGCAGTGTGCCATGGCACCCAGCCTGCGGTGCTGTGCGGTGCTGTGCGTGTGCGGTGTGCCATGGAAGAGAGCCTGCAGTGCTGTGTGTGTGCGATGTGCAGTGTGCCATGGCACACGGCCTGCAGTGCTGTGTGTGTGCGGTGTGCCCTGGCACACAGCCTGCGGTGCGCTGCCAGTCCGGGCCGGTGTGCGGGTGTGCCATTGCACACTTCCTGCGGTGCGGGGAACCGGGCGCCGGTTTCCGGTGGCTGACAGGAGCCGGAGCCCGCCGCTGCCTCCTCTGGCGTGGAGTACCACACACCCCCACACACACTGCGGGGAGGAGGAGGAGGAGGAAGAGGGCGGAGGGAGCAGAGCAGCCCCCCCGCCCAACCCCCGGACAATATCGCCCTCATCCCCCCATGCAATACGGGCGATATAGCACGGCTCCCCGCCCCGCGCTCCCACGGACAGGCACCTGCAGGTACGTGACCCGCCGGCCGCACCGTGCGTGTGGATGCGAGTGCGGGGGGTGCGTGTGTGTGCATCCAGCGCTGCCCGCCGCGGGGGCGGGCGATAGTCCCGTGTCTGGCTCGCTCTCTCTTTGTGCGCGGCCAAGGGCTCTCTCGGAAGCTGCACCGGGCACAGGCGCGGGTCCCCCGGCCTTGTTGCGGGGCGCTGTGCAGTGGCAGGGCTCGGTGTGCCTCCCCGGGCTGCACGGGGCGTGCCGATGAAGGACAGGGGGAGGCAGGGGTGCTTGAGGGGTCGTGGTTTGTCACAACATACGGAGTGGAGTGTAGCCCCTCGCCCCGCCTGGCATCCTCCTGCAGAAGGAAAAGTGACCCTTACAGCCCCCGCCCCGCTCCCACCCGCAGCTCCCGGCTGAAACCGAGGTGGGCAGGCGCAGGGGGCTGTGGTTTGGGGCCTCAGGGGTCTGCCGGCTGCAACGAGAACGGGGCCGGGGGCCAAGTGCCTGGCGGTGAGGTTTGGTCCCACGGGAGGTTCGAGCCTCCTGGCACGTCCCACAGGGGAGCTCTGACGGGTCCCTCTGATCCCCAGCCCAAGCAGGCAGTGGGGTGAGCACTGGGAAAGGCAGCTCCACGCTAACTTGGCTTGCTGCCGAGACGAGGCGGGAGCAATAAGGCAAGCCAGAAAACAGAAGCAGGCTTGGAAGGGATGGTTACATGCAAAGGAAAGAGTGAAAACGATGGAGAGATATATTGAGCTTTCTGCAATTCAATTCCAGCTGTCAGACAGAGCTCCAGCCAGAGGAGTAACTATGATACATTAAAACTCACCTTCCATCTGCAGCATTAATGGTTATAAATATCTCCTGAACACAGCTGGCAGTTCAGTAGTACTAGATGTAGAGTACAGCTATTTCCATTCAAGTGAGTGAAGGTCTGTCCTAGGAACAAAACAATTCAGTCAGTAAAAATGACATCCTTGTATGTGGCTGGCTTTCAACATTTGAATTGTTAATTGTGAAGTTTGCTTTTGACTGCCTTCTTTGCCATTCCCCCACTTAACCGTTCTCAAAAATACAACCTCTACCACTGGTGGTGCAATGCTAAAACTGTGATAGATGGTAAGCTTGGCTGTGAACTGGCACAAACAGTAATATTTTTCATTTTTCTGTTGATTTGAAGAGAAATAGGACTAAGCACTTAGTGTGCTTGGTAGCAGCAGTGAGAATTTGCATGAAACAAATGATGACATCCCTTTGCTGTGTTCTGGCTGGCAACTTTTCAGCTAAGGAACTAGGCTTCTTTTCCTTAACTTTTTTTTCTTTGAATAGAATAACCCCAAAAGGTCTTTTTAGGTTAGGAATGACCAGTTCCTGTTTCTCTCATGGCTTCTTCAGTTCTCCTCCATATAATTCAGAGCTCAGACCAACAGGGCTGTACTCACGTGGTTGTGTAATTAACCTAATAACCTCAGCCAGCAGCACACTGGGGATGTGTGCCTGCCCCACAGCACCATGTGCATGGTTTCAGACCGTTTCTGACTGACTGGCTTTACCAGAAGCCAGGAAAAATTGCCCTGAGAGTTGAATCTATCAGTTATCTCAGGCTGATTATTCAAACGTCATTTCATGTTTGGCTAAACCTGTTTTTTCTCACTTCTAAAGCCGCACAAAAACTGGAATCACATGGTTCATTCACTCACCTACTGTACTGTGCTGAGCCTGGTGCTCAACCTGGCTAAATCATGCCCAGTGCCAATCTTCCCCTTTTGCCTGTGGCTTTGAGCAAAAAGCAATTTTTTAACCTTTTGCTCAAATTCATTAGCTCTTTGAAATCCTTCATAGGTAAGCTAAGAAGCAAACCGGGTAGTTTAAAAACCTTGCACCCAGAAAAGTAATGGATAAAAGAATTGGCAAAAAGATACTGTGTGGTTTAGTATTAACAGAAAGTGTTGCAGGGATGATAGGTGTTCTTATATGCAGTGTAAAACTTGTTGTGAGAGAGATACACCCTGAAGTTACTGTTTTTGCTGTTGTCAATAACTCATCTCAAGAATGTAGCAGAATTCTTCTCTGTATTCCACTAAAATATCTAGGTGTTTAGAAAGTAACTTAAAACTTGTGGAGAAACCATAACAGCTGAAGTACTTCTCCAGCCATTGTTAGCAAGCTGGGGTTTTTTAACCAAATATGCATTGATACTGTTCCTGTACTGATGCATCTATGCACTGGTAGCTGGTATTATACCAGGAAGTTTTGTATAATTTAACTTACTGAAAGTTTCCAAAGCACACTATAATTCTGTTTCATTCACACAGTGATAATGGATTTATAGTCACGAGTTCCTAGAGCAGCAGCAGTTTACTGCCTTAGCTGTTCACACCTGGCAGTCACCAGCTGCACCTGCCTTAAGAGGCCACTGAGCCTCACCCTCATGCCAGTTTGACTAGGCTGTCCATGGGTCCACTCACTGCAGCTCCACGGAGACTTGGAGTTTCAGCAATGACATCCTTTGGTATTTCCAGTCTCCCAATCTTATGCCTTTCTGCCTTCCTTCCTTGTTAGTCATAAAATGCAGACAGAAGAGCTCTGAAGGTTTTAAGTGTAATCCCAGCCTTGGCATTCATCTCCACGGTGCCACTGTTTTTCCACATCTGTGCCCTGGGAGTGATAACCCATCCGGGCAGGGCTCACAGAGGTGGTGTGAAAATTAACTGCTGTTTGTAAGGCACTTTCGCAGAAATGTGTGTGGCAATTGGTTCTCTTGAGGATTGTTGTGCATCTGGTAATTCAAGTGTAACTGGCTGAACGTTGGCTCTGCTTCCAAAGGTTATTGCCGCACACCTTTTTTGCAAAGTAAAACAGGGTGAGATTAAGGTTAGTGACCTAAAAGTAGAGCAAATTTTTGTTGCCTTTTCTAGTCCCTTTCTGTGAAAAATATTTAAAAATGAGTGTTAGTTTGTATCAAATGTTTCCACCATGGATTTGCATAATAAATTAAAGGAACTTAAAAGATATATACCTTACTCTGAATAATGAAGAGAACCAATGGAGCCCAGCTGCTTCATCTTCATTTACTTGACCTTGGTTCTGATTTGTTGATTTATGAACTTTATTTACTAGTCACTGAATTCTCTTGCAAGACAGAAATTACAGGGTGTCAGTCCTCTCTTGTGTCTGTAGTAACGAGCAGACCTCACAGATTCCCTAATGACACTCCTGGCTGGCCACTGACCATCTGTGTTTTTCCTGAAGTAAATAAAAGATCTTGGTCATATGACTGTCCAAACTTAAGCATTCAAAAAGGAAACAAAATAGTAAGTGCCTTCAGCGTGGTGAGAATGTGTTGTAGTTTAGCCGCAGTCATACTTACACAATTAGGATGTGTTTTCTTCTGAGAATTGTACGGTGAAAAATACCTATCTCAGATCCTGGGTTTAGTTTGATCTTTGTGGAGCCTCTACTTTGCCTGACTGTGTGCTAAGAAATTACTCTGCATGATGTAGGGCCTATTCTCAATTACAGGTATTTTCCACATTTTCTGCACAGTAAGTTTTTATCATGGTCCTTGTATTGCTGAAGAGTTCTTTCACATTTCATTCCCTTTTCTTATTTTTGTTTAGCAACAGGCAGGATCTCAAATTTTTGTTCACTTGACTGATGTTAGCTGAGAGACATCATGAGTTCTGTTGGACATTTAGGCATCTTAGGATTTTAGTTCAATGAAAAGTTGCAGGAACAAAAATTTTCCTCTAAGTGCAGAATCACAGGGTTAGGTTATTGGTATTCACTGAGTGAGTACTGTGACCTTCTGCAAGTTTTTATTTCTATTGTTCAAGGCAATTATTTTCTAAAAGCAGTCATCATACCTTAAATATTTTACATATCTGTTTTACAAACAGTACCCAAGATAACTGGAAGAGATAAGGCGAGGAAAGAGATTCGTGTCCCATTTTCTCTTCAGCTTTGTTTATTTCTTCCATTTATTTTGTCTTTTTTTTTTTTTTTTTGGTATGGTCTTCCCTATTGCTTTCCTCTGTGATCTTCAGTAAAGCGAGTGTCTTTGATCAGTGTAGACAATCAGGTATTCAAAAAGAAAAAAAACCACTCTAATATTTTTTGAAAACAGGAACATAGCCATATAGCAGTGATCAAATATCCAAATGTACACCAGACTTTACTTATCATCTAGTCCAGTGGAAGCTTTCTTGCATCACCAGTGTTGTGCTTTGAAAGCTTGATTGTTCTATCCCTTGACCTAAGAACAGCTGCATCTCCAAGAAAGTAATAGGCAAGAAAGCTCTCCAAGATACAATTATTTTCTACAGCAGTTTTTTTTCAAAATATATTTAAAGTTGACAGCAACTGGTTTTAGTCATTTCGAATTTCGCTGTCTATTCTCATAGACAGGGTTTAAGGCTGGAGAAAAGCAAAACCACTGATGATCTAGTAGGTTAGAGGTTTCAAATGAACCTTGAAAAGTGAAATTAAATGGAGCAACTGGAGCCACACGATGAGACACTCCATGAGATGTGTGGATGGTGTGCCTGAGGATTTGGAAGGTCCTTATTGCTGCAATCAACCAGATTAGAGTGATGCTAAAGAGACCACGGTCCTGTTCTGCCCTTATGCTAGACCCAGAGTCTGTAATGTCTTTGTTCCTCTCGACACTCTTCATTTGCATATAAATTGGCTGCCACCCCCAGCCCTGTTTAAGCATGGAGGGGGGTGTGCCCGAAGCAACAAACGTGAAAAAGGACAGCGAGCTGCACTGTGAGGGACTTCAGGACATCAAAGGCCCCCGTTGGCTGCATCCAGCACCAGTGATCTCTCTCACTCTCTTTCTGCCTCTTTGCTTCTTCTTTCTCTTCCCCTCTCCCCCCATCCTCTTTCTTCCTCTTTCTCACACATTGCAAAGTTTACGAATACAGCCATTTGCTAACGATGTCCCTTCATGTGAGTAACCATTTGTAAGTCCTCCTTCAAATAAATTTGTTACTTATTAAAGGACCACAGTG